TACTAGTGTATTTCTCTGTTTTGATATCTACTTTTTATTTTTAAGATCGTAGTCAGATTTTGAAGGCTGAAGAAGAAGGTTTTTGTGCAAGTGTTTTCTTGTACCAAAGAAAATGTTAAGAAAGCAAAATAAAAATCGTTGTCAAATTGGGTGTAAAGCAAATTTGATTTCTGTTTTGTCCTAATATTAATTTTGATCTCTAATGTTGCCTTTTATCTTTCAATTTCTGCTTTAATGTGTTGAAAATTGTCAACTAAGTCGCTGGACATGGCAAGAAACCATTTTTTAGATTGAAAAAATGTTTTCTTATTTGGGAACTTTCAATTCCTGTAGTATGTGAAATTTCTCTTCAAATTCCTATGATGAAGATTACTTATTATTATTATTATTTTATGCTCTTGATGTAGAAATTTGCTTTGGAAGATTTTTGAATGACTTCTATGTCATCCATAATTAATTATTCAGCGTGATTGTCACTCTCATTATTATTATTAAGTATATAATGTTAAAAATATAAAAATATCAACCACATAATGCTTGCCATGCCAAAAACTGTCCCATTCTAGGTTTAAAACCCAATGTATTTTATTTGGGGTTTTGGGCTAAATAATCCTTTTACCGAGATAATATTGTTTTTTTTTTGTCAGTCCTGTCAAATGACCGTCCATGCCCTTCCCTTTCTTTTAGATTTTTTTCCCTCCATTATTTCCCCATTCTCTCTCTATTTTAAATTTATATTGTCTCTCTCTGTTTTCATTATCTTTTACAAAAACCCAAAATTTATATCGTTATTGAACTTCGATATTTCTCCTTGCTTCTCTGTTTACGATTAGGTCTCCTGCCTGGATCTAGAGTCTCCCTTCTGATATTGGAGTGGATTTCGTTCGAAATGTAGTCTATAACAACTGTCCTGCATTGGGTTTCATATGTTGTTATTTGTTCATTATACATGGGTTGCTAAAGCAAGTTTGAATTCGTCGTGCATGAAACCAAACAGGAGCGAGAGCGAGAAGCATTGAATAGTCAGATAGAGTAAGCGAGCACTAGATCGAGAGGTTGAGCCAGATCGAGATAATGCGAGAGTGAGAACGAGAAAATTTGCGGTGGAGAGCGAGAGAGAGGCTAATGCTGAGCGAGAGTGAGAGCAAGGGCTTTGAAAGACTTATCAAGATCGAAAGTGAGCGGGAGCGAGAGCAAGAGCGAGGGAAAAATAGGGTGAGATACCGAGAGCGAGACATTCAACCGAGCAACAATTTGTTGTTATTCATTTTGTTTTTTAAATTAGTTATTTCTTTTATTATATCCTTACAACCATGCTCACTGTCATCGGACTCGCAAAATGGAAAGGAAACTTGTTGACTGAGAATGAACGCTCCGAACACTCTACCCAACGGCGGCAGGAGATCAACGTCGTACATGGAAGACAGAGGGGCAACGAGAAAACAGAGACGTGAGTTCAATGTTGAGGACGAATTGAAGTTCCAACGAATGTGAGTGAGAGAAGATGGAAAAAAGGAGGGAAGTTTGAAATTTCATCTATTCGTACTACCCGAGGAAAGGGAGGAGCATGGACGATCATTTGGCAATGAGTCTGACATAAGCAAACAATTACAAAACATAAGTTTTTAAAAAAGTGCTTAGAATCAATAGTTTTTAAAAAAGTGCTTAGAAACAATATTGACTTGGTAAAAGGGCTATTCAACCCAAAATCCCTTCTTCTATTTGTGCTAAATTACAAATTTAGTTTAGTTTGGTTTTTTTTTTTTTTTTACATTTAAAAATGTAGTTCTCTGAAGTTTCAATGATGTATCTAAAATGTTCTTCACCTGTTATACATTTTTCGCAAAATTGGAAGGTCATGAATCTAAACATAGAATTGAAAGTAAGTAACCAAACTTGTAATTTACACTAAACTTTCTCTTTGGTCAAATTGAATCTTATACCCAAATAAAGGCTAGAATTTTTACTTTATGTTAGGCTTTCGTATGAATGATTATTAAATAAAAATATCTTTGAGTGCAAAAGATTACAAAAATGGTCAACATGAGAATAACTAGTGGTAACTGGTATATACTCCTTCTCTTGAGGTCGAAAGTTCGATCTCTACATCCCCAAATCGTTGTACTAACAAAAATAATTACAAAAATTAGTGAGATTTAAGATAATTTTATGTTCAAATTAGTAGATGAATGAAACAAGAATCGAATATAAGAAGATTTTTGTGTTTTTTTCCTTTTCTTTTTTTAATTGAAATTACTAGGTCGAATTTGCAACATGTGTAAGTCTAAAAGTGCAGTTTGATTGAATGGAAAATGTAGTATAAAAATTAATTAATTTTGCATTTAAAGGTTGGATTTTTTTTTTTCTTTCAAAAAGTTAAAAGAACAAAACAGGTAAATTCAGCTAAATAAGATGTTTCATTTTATGTTAAAATACTGTTTTATCCTTGTACTCCCAACTTTGACTCATTTTAGTGTCGGTACTTTAAAAAGGTTTACCTTGATTCTTGTACTTTAAAAAATGGTTCATTTTAGTTTAATCCAAGTTAAAAACGACACATTGATGATGTTGCATTGACTTAGAGCTTAGTTGTCAAATAGACTGACTTTGGTTCATTTTGATCAAAACCGGTACAAACAGCGCAACGTCAATGTGTCACAGTGCTGACGGGCTGGCTGGTAGTACGATTTGGTGGTAGAAGTGAGGCTTCGGCGATACCGATGACAAAATTGGTGTTGAGTTTGGCATTTGGGGAATTCTTTTGCACAAAGTGGGGGTTCCTGGAGCTCTCTGTTCTCACTCTCTTTGCCTAGGTTCTGATCAAAATTAATCTAATTAAGCTTATTTGGAAATTAAATTTGACGACTAAGCTCTAGGTTAATGCCACATATTGTTAATCGTTTAACGGTAGGTTAACAGCAAGAATCATAATGAATTATTTTTAAAAATAGATGGACCAAAATGAACATTTTCAAAATATATGAACCAAAATTAAAAGCGTAGAAACCAAAAAAAAGTATTTTTATATGATTTTTTCTTAAAAAAAAAAAGAATATAAGCTTCTAATTGATCAACAAATTATTGTTTTTCAACTAATGTTTTAAATTAAAAATTCACTAATTATAAAAGAAAGTGTTACAGAAAAAGAAAGCTCATTTTTATAGTAATAGAGATGAAAAATAATACAAATTTTGGAATTATAAAACTTTTGAAATTCTATTACAAATTATAATTAAATAAAAAAACTTAATCAATAATTAGTAGATTAATTATTTAATAATTAATCTACTAATTATAATTAACTATTGAATTTTTTTGTCAGAGATTGATGCCCTGACCAATCGAGCTAGTATAAATTATAGATGAAAGATAACTTGCTAACAAATTAAATGTTTTTTATTACAATCTTTGTTGCTTGAGATGAAATCATCTAAAGAAGAACCATTACAAACATGTATGAGAAATTCACCATCGGTATCTACTCAATTATATTTACATTCACAGTTTTGCAAAAGTTTGATAGAGGCTCACAAAACTAACCTATTTTCCAAAATACTTTACCAACACTCCATTTTGATCTATTTTCCAATTTGTTTGTTAATTCAAGGAAAGTACATTGTCGCAACGTCATCGCGACACGGAACGGCCGGCGTCATTCCCTGAACAGTCTCTTTCGAGATAAGAGTTTGGAGTCGCTACCAATCATCTACGAGGTGTGATTGATCACCTATTTTAAAAACATGGTCTACAAAAAACAGATTTTAGGTTCGGGAGTCGACTGAGCGTAGGGAAGGTAGCACCCTACTACACCCATTCGAACACGGTACCATATTTTATCATAA